CTGCGAAATGGCCAAGAAAATCCACCACCAAACAACAGCTAGGCTGGCCAGGCTCAAGCAACCGCAGGCTCAATTACATGTGTGCGCTGCCACCACAACAACAACAACAATTACAACAACAACAACCAGGACAACAACAACAACACGAGCAACAAGAATCCTCAGCCTGAGCCATGAATTGCCCTGGCTTGGGGTTGCGGGTTCCTCCATTGCAGAAAATTTGCCGTGTGATTTGCATGAGTAATTTGACAGATTAGTTTGCATTGCCACACAGATTGAGGCATACATATATATGTATGCCACACGACGTGGCAACACAAGCCCTATTTGCAACCCCGCTCTCAAAATATCTAATAAGTTCGCCGTGCAGCCAAAGTCTTTTGATTAATCACAAAATTAAGTACGCACAATTATTAAATTATATAAAATCCCAACTCATTTAGAAATTTTGAAATAAAAAAGAAAAACCTTCGAAAAATTCGAGAAACTCATTTATGTACATTTTAATAAAAACATTTACTCTCATGATTGCCTGCATAAAACATAGTTTAAAGATATTCCGCAGTTATCGTTTTTGAGTTTCTTTATAGAGTTTTTTCTACGGTAAGAGAAAAAGTTAAATAATTGTCTAAATAGTCCCTGTATTAAGTTTTTATTAAATTATATTGTTTGTCAACAAAATATGTGTTTAATTTATTATTGGACTTTTTTCTATATAATATAAGTATGTATTCATATTTATTCTCTTTACTTTATTATTATTATTATTAATTTATATATCTTTTTAATTAGTTGGGTAAATTAATTTAATTTCAGTTATTTTTCAAATTATTATTTTCTATTTTCTTATTTCTTTTCCTCGTATTTTTGAACATTTACGTATGCATTTAGTTTTTATTTTATTTATATTTCTTTCTGACCTCTATTCTGTTTGCAGTTTGTGAAAATTGATTGCCTTCCGTTTCCATCGACATAAAATCAAATCAATTGCCCATTTCTCACAGCATTCAATATGTCAATAAATATGCTTGACCAATTCAAATTGAATTAATGTTATTTTCTTTTCATGTTTCGACTCTAGGAAAATTCTCTTGGACGTGCGCCAAAACGGCAGCAACAACAACAACAACAGCAACAACTGTTTTGGGGGGAGCGGGGTAGGGCGCCACATTCGATCAAAACTGAAACTGCGACGAGCAGTGTAACAGTGTCTGCTAAAAGTTGTTGCCCCCCGCCCCCCCGCTCACTTCTCTAGCGAAACGGTTTAGCATATGCCTTATAGGGCAGAGGGCATATGCGCGAACGACTGCGCTTAACTGTCCACTTCCTGAGCCCGCATGACGGAAGCCGCTCAAGTGGGCCGCGGCGGGGCGGGGCGGGGCAGAGCGGGGCAAATGGGGCAGCGGAGCAACGGGGCAACATATGTGATGACAGCGACGGCGCGCCGCGTCGCCAACATTTTTGGGGGAGGGGGGCCGGGGGGGGGGGGGCACTTGAACGATAAGCGACAACAAACAAACAACAGCCAGAAGAAGGCGACGCACATTTGAATTTCAATTAGAATTTTAATAATCGAAGCATAGTGTGTGCGAGCATGAGTGTGTGTGTGTCAGTGTGTGTATACATTTCGCTTCCGTTAAAATTTTTTTATTTATTTGAAACGCTTTTTGTGGGCATTTATCAAAATGTTTGCGACGCGCTGATGGATATGCCGCATGTGTCCAAAGATGTGGCAGCTGGACGCCGCAAAATTGGAGGCATAAATACAATTAGGCCTCGGCACTTCGAGCGGGCAGAGAGAGAGAGAGAGAGAGGGGAGAGAGGGGGGAGAGAGAGGGGACAGAGGGCGTGAGTTGGCTGACACAAAATTAGCACAAGGACAGAGGAATTCCAGCGGCACGTTCTGCTGTCATGTGTGGCAAATCCCGCAAGGATTATGCAAGCAGGGGCAGCAAAAAAAATTATATATATATATATATATATTATGTGTGCCAGGAGGCAGGACAACAGCAACGACAACGACAACGACAACGACAACGACATGTTGCTAATTTTTTTCCATTCTAATATAATAAAAAAAAAAGAACGCGATGTGTGAGTGTGTGTGTAAATTTAGCGACAAGGCTGCTGACAACAACAACAACAACAACAAACAGACAGCAAAAATCCCAAAAGGCAAACAATTCAACAAAAGAGTGAGAGTGTGCGACTAAGAGAGAGGGGGGGGGGGGCGGGCATAAAAAGAGAGGCGGGGCAGGCGGTAGCCAGCTGGACAATTTCATTTGGCAAGGTAGCAGCCGAAGAGGGGGCTGGCTGCCTGGCGGGGGGAGGGGGGCTTTGGGGGGTCGTCAGTACAGCGAATTGGGCTTGTAACTGTCAAGGGGTCTGCTACTGTGCCGTGAGTAGGGGCTACGTAGAGGGTGGCGGGGAATTGGGGGTGTGTGTGTGTGTGTGTGTGTGTGTGTGTGTGTGTAATCGGCGCACATAGCGAAAGAGTCGCATATTCAACAGGAAAATCCCTTAATTGGAATAAATTAACTGTTATTGCTACGGCATGCCAAGCCGACAACAGGCACACACACACACACACACACACACACATGTACACACGCACACACAATCCCGCGACGCGCATTATATAGACATATAAATATAAATGTATCTACATATGTATATGTATATGCAGCTGCAGCCACAGATACAGATTGTGCACATGTATTTGCTTGCTGTATGTGTGTGTGTGAGTGTGTGTTGCTGTGTGTGTGTGTGTGTGTAACAGTCGCTATCATATCCCACTGGAGCACTGTTTATTCTATATAGCAGAACACACATATTTAAGCACACATATATATATATACATATATATATATACACACACATATATACACATGCATTCGCATGTATTTGTGTGTCCGTTAAGTTTTGCGCGCCTCACAACACCAAATTAAATAATATGATAAAAGCGAAATTTATGACACATGCGAGAGCGAGCACGAATCTCTGAATATGAAACTGAATAAAAAATACACACAGAAAAAAATTATATAAAAAAGAATTACAAATTGCAAAAGAATCAAATAAAGCCTCAAATAAACTGTAAAAATATATAAAAGCGAGTAAATAAGGATATCTTCGGCATATCGAAGTCTTAATACCCTTGTAGACATTTGGCTAATTTATCAATTGATTCTTCCTATAGAGCTATATAGCATACTAGTGCGAGACTGAGAAGACATGGCTTGTTGATAAGCAAAATAGTTAAATTAGTAGATGACACTTTGGGTGAAGATATCTGGATAAACAGATCAGTTTTTCATACAAGACCTTTATGTCCGACCGATCATTTCAATGGTAGTCCGATGTTAATACGATTTTAAGACATCTTGAAAACACACAAAAGGTTTCTCTTGCAAGAACTTTATATTCGTCCGGCTGATCCTATGGCAGCTAAATGTTACAGTCGTTCGATATTGGTGGGATATCCCATAGCAGGACAGACTGCTGGAAGGACACGGCTATATCTACGCGGCTGTTGATGCTGATCTAGAATATATATACTTTATGAGGTCTGAGATGTATCTCATTTCAAAAAACTCAAAAAGCCCCTACAAGGATATGAAAAGTAGAATTTACATATCGGAAAATCGCAAACATTTAAAAACCTTTAAGACTCCAATGATCCAAAGTTTCTTAAACTTAATATTTTCTCATGTTTTCCAATTGTTAAAAGACACATAAAGGACACAAAGTCATTTAAACTAAACCAAGCCAGCTTTCTCTCCCCCTATTTCCGACATGCCAGCTGCTTTAGCATACCCCATATGTTGCACAGAGAGGGTATACTCGCTGCATGCGCTGCGCTGCCTGTGGTTATCTGTGGCAAGAGGCAGTTCAAAGTTTATGCAACGCAATTTGCAGCTCGCTGGCCTAATGAACAACCCGAATATCCTGTTTGGCCGGCAACTGGAGCAAATTGTGAGAAAAAGGGTTTGTTCTTTTTTTTTTTTTGCCAGCAAAGTTTTCAAGGCATTTTTGTTGTTTGCCCGCATAGAGAGACAAACGCCTGAAGGTGTGGCAGCAAGAGGAAGAGCCAGCTAGCATTATGCAACATAGTTTTTCAGCACAATATCTACAATTTTTTTGCTTGTTCCTAATTAGTAGAAGCCAGTTAAGAGGAAAGCATGGAAAATGAAGGCACGTAACTGTAACAAGGAACAGTTTTTATATCCTGTTCGCATGGAACTTTATCTAACAACTTTCTAGAAGCTGAAATTTAAATAGTTTGTTGACCAAACCAGAGCATAATATTATTGTTAGGCGAACACGAGTTTCTCGAATGTTTTAAAACAATTTTTGGACAAGTTGTTGATTGGACTGAAAGATTAGACAGGTAATTAATAACAGGGCAAGAACCTAGACGGGAATGCGATTGAATGTAGTATAGTATTATTAAATCAAGTATTGTTAATAGATTAAAGAAATAAAAAACGTCTAATGAAGCACTCGTGAGTCTGACAAGTGCTTGAATGTGCTTAAAAGAGTTTTTAAAAAACAAAATGTTTTATAATCAAAATGTTGAGTGCCAAATGGTGTGCATGTGTGTGTGTCTGTGTGTGTGTGTGTATAAATGTTGTGTGTAGCATGCTTGTTATCAGCAATGCGAGCTGAGCATTTTGTGGTGCGATAAGCATATGTATTTTTGGTATTACTCGACCATATAAGTGGGTAGACATATGTATGTATGAGTATGTACAGATGTACATATGTATGTGTGTATATGTGTACAGTGAGTAGAGTGCCTCCATATGGAATACAGTACGTGTTCTTTTATGATGGCCATGTGGCATATGCGTAATGCCAAAAGGAGGCAACATTTGAAGGCATTGACAATCTAAATGAAGACATAGCCACAATCATACAAACATAATGGATATAGATGGTTAAAGAAAGCCAAAAAAATGAAAGAAAAAAAATAAATGAAAATGAAAAAAAAAACTCACCCGTTGTCAGTGGAAGACAATGAAATTCCAATTTGCGTGCCACAATTTGTTGGGGCTTCGGTCTGTCCCGTTGATTTGTTTGCCTTGAAACATTTCAATTAAGCGACGCGTTGCGCTTAATTGTTATATGAGCGGAGTGTGCGCTTACTTATAGACGATATAGTAGTAGGCTTTTCTTACTCGAAACACTTCTTTTTTTTTTTTTGTGGGGCGGCAACGTCAACGAGTTGTTTTCATTTAGCCCGATTGAGGGCAATTATGTGTCCAATGATAACGCGCGTGGCACGGCCAAAGCTGTTAAATGAATAGAGCACAGAATTTTCGTACTTAAACACTTGATAAAGCATATAAATTGTTGTGTATATGTATATATAAGGTTTATCAGCACGGCCAGCACACCCAACCCACACACACACACACACACACAGAAACGCACACATCCTTAAGCAGCCGCTGCCGCTGGCGCTCTGCACGCCAACGCTGACGCACAACAACTGAGCACAGAACGCAGAAAAGAAAGAACAGAAAAAAAAGCACAGTTGAAAAACGCAGTCGAAATTGAATTCAGTTTTGAAACGCGCGAAACGCAAACGAAACGAAATGAAGTGAAACGCAAACAAATTGATTTTGACGCGCCGCATTCTGTATACCCTGCCGCCTAAATTATTTAAGTGCGCACATATGCCTTGAACAGTCGCTCGCTCACTTTGGCGCTCCTGGGTGCAGTCGTGCAGCAACGGACACATTGTTAGTGTATTAGAGCAGAGAGCGGGCGCACGTTCCATTGCCATGCTGTGCCTGCGCTCAGCTTATCAGTTTGCTATGCTGTCGACGTCAGCAGCGACCGCGACTGCGGCAGCGACCACGACATCGCCGATCGCTTGTGGTGTTGCGCGTGGGAAAGAGACGGCACTACCAGGCAACCAACACATTTTATCAGAAATATATATTTTATCGCGCATTAGAAAACATGTATTTTGCCGTTCTTGTTGTTCCAATGTGTGTGTGTTTTTTTTTAACGTAAAAACATTTGTAGTTAAAGGAGAAAAAAAAGAAATTGAAACAAGAGGCGAATGCCAAAGGCAGCGTAACATTTGCAAAACACATGTCAACGGCATGTTTCCGTTGACGCTAGCCCTGGGACTTGCCCAGCGCACAGCTAGTGGGAGCGAGAAAGGTAGCGCTAGAGAGAGCGAAGAGTCCTTTGTTTGCGTCACAGCGGCACAATGCGATTGGCTGCCGGTTGCTGACGGTGTTTCGGTTGCAGTCAAATTAGTTAAGAACATTTTGCCAAGTCCGCAGAAAAATCATAAAAAAAAATACCCCTTCTCTTTGGGTTGATTCTAAAAGGAAAATGAAGAGAAAGCCAAGTCACATATTGTTCGAAATAAGCATATGCAAATCTGTGACGTATGAATTCTGATGTCAAGCAGCTCACACACACACACACACGCGCAGTCATACGCACCCGTATCCTACATCTTAAATACAATGTATGTTTGTATTTTAAAAAGGCACAGACAAGATAAATACACACACGTAAACACACGCACACACACACACGGAGGTTGCCCATCACCATATGCAAACTCTTGGAATATATTTTTCTCTTTGAGCGGTTATTGTTGTTGTTGCTTTAAACGCGCCAGCGTCATCAAGTTTTATGAGCAATTACAACATCTGTTGAATATCGCAAAAGAGACGCACACGCACACACACGAACCCATACCCTCCCTCTCGAAAAAAAACACACACACGGACGACACAAAAATGAGAGCATCTCCATAGAAATCGCAAATTTTTCGTCTTGCGTTTTTTTTTTGGTATTTTTTTTTTTTTTTTGTTCAAGGCAACACAAAGCGCCAAACAGATAAAATAGAAGACACGCGGAGGGGGCAGCGGGTGCAAGGGCAGCGACGTACAATAGGAAATGCTCAAGACTAAGGGCAGTCGAACAGCAACAGCAACAACAACAACAAGAAGAAGAGCAACAACAACGTGAAGAACAGCAATAACAATGGGCACTTGGCATTGAACTTAGGCGCAGTTCTTTTGTATGCCCGCTCCCATTTCCCCTCTCCCTGTCTATCTGTCTCTCTCTCTCTCTCTCTCTGGCACACTCTCTGGAGCTATCCCTGATTTCTGATTGAGCTATTGAATTAACATTTGCAATGATTTACCAAACAACATTTGATAATGATGCTCAAAAGAAGGGCACAAGAAAAGGAAAACACACTAACACACACACACACACAGAGATAGGCAGACTCATAGGAATGTGGGCGTGACATGGTATTATGGGGGCGGCAGACAGAAGCAGCGTGTCGAATTCAAGCGAATATTCAATGGAATAATATCAATTTCTTTACAAATGTCTTGAATTTAACTTGCCTTTCTTTCTTTAAAGGTATTTGCACAATTTGCGCACTGTTCACAGTTATCTTCCGTTTAGCCAATCCAATTTGTAAAAGATACATCTATTTTTGTGCATTGTGAAATGCTTTCTATTTATGGAATAATTGAAGTTATGGAAAATATAGAAAATATATACATATGAGAACAGACATATCTTAATTTTGACAAGCTTTAATCATAATTGATATTGTTTCAATTTGAAGAGTGTGAAAAATATATATAAAATATTTTTAAAAAATTGTTTAAATATTACGAAAATATGTATAAATTATTAGAAATATCCTTCGACGAAATTTTGGAAGATCTAGTAATTAAATAAAATATAAAATATTTTATTCATATTTATTGCAATATATAAATATATTATAAAATACATTTTCAATATTTATATAATGCAAAAAATGCTAAAATAATAAATTTTAAAATATATCTGAAAATATTTAAAAAAAAACGGAGTAATAAATAATAAAAATAAATAATATATGATCATAAATAATAAATATTTATAAGACCCAAACAAGACTCATAAATTTGGTCTATAGCTTATATTCCAATTAAAGCATGTTTTTAGTGCAGGATAGTTAGTCAAGACAGGCTTCACTGTAGCTAAGTCCTGGCTAGTCAGGGAAATATTTCACTGCTCTAATGAAATTTAAATATAAATTGCTAATCCTGGAATGTGAAGGCCTGCTGTCCTGGCCGACACCTGGTCGCAGGGCACTCGACGCACATTTTACTGCCCCCTTTTTATATTATTTTTTATTTTATTTGTTTTTTTTTTATGTCAGCTCACAATCAATCAGAAATACAAATACGAAATGCGAAATACGAAATTTGAATTGTGCGCACAAAATGAGGACGAAAATCTGTCAAAAAGTGGTAAATGAAACTCTTCAGATGTCACTGAGCCAGAAAATTATGCGATAATTAATTTCTCGACCGGAGAGAGAGAGAGAGAGGGAGAGAGAGAGGGAGAGAGAGGGGGGAGAGCGGGCAGCGAGTCGTAAATTCTCATTCGAGTGCATTGTTTGTGCGAGTCCTTGGCAGACTCCTAAAATCCTGGCCTGCTGCTTCCGCAATTATGATTGTCCTTCGTCACTCGCCGGGCAATTCCTTTCCTTTCCTTTCCTTTCGTTTCGTTTCATTTTTTTCCCCTCATTTTTTGGGCTCATTTGGCTGGGCATTTGAGCATATTATATTTTTGTGGTCTTGTCTTTGGCTGGCCTTAATTAAAAGCTGTACAAATTGCTGCAGCATGTGCTTGAAGCGGGGGTTAGTTGTTGTCAGGGGTGTGGCATTTGAAGCGCGGCTGAGTGAGTGAGGCACGGCACAACCCCTGGCTAAAAAGCTAAAGGCTCTTTATTTGTATGGGCATACGCCTAAAACAATGCGCACACAGATTTCAATTGTTTGTCGCCCATTGTTTGGGCGTTTCGAGTATCTGGAAAATGGAAGCTGGCGACGCGAACAAGTTCCATTGTCCTTCAAAAGCGCATTGAATGCACACGCAGAAAGCCAAAGGCAAAGCCGGGCCAAGTGCTCAAACCCACAGCTGAAGCACATGTGAGGCAAGTCGCCCTCTCTCCCTCTCTCCCTCTCTCCCTCTTACCCACTCTCTCTCCATCTCAGTCTCTGGCACGTAAAGGAGCAGCCGCTCGCTCGGCTAATTTGCAGCTTGGGGCATGTTGGGCGCCCACTTCAACTGACAGCAGCTACTTTAACTTAAGCTGCAGGCTTAAGATGAGGCAAGCTCCATGAAGTGGTGAGGGGGTGGGGGGTGAGGGGAGAGGGGTGAGGGGCGTTGCAATGAGCATCAGTTGCTGCAGCTTCAGGTGGCACGCACCTGGGCGGGCTGCCACTTTGTCGCGCACTTTACCGAAAAACTTCCGTTAATTAACGTTAATTTACTTGAAACTCAACTTCCGTTCGCCCTGCCCCTCGCTCCCTCTCTCCCTGCCTGCCTCCCTCCGTCCCCTCTGGCCGCACAGCCGGAAATGTTTCCGCTTGAAGGTGCAACCGAGAAGAAGCCAGCATTAATAAAAGCGACAAAAATTGAATGAATGGCAGCGCATCGCAAAACTTTTGCTCGTGGACACAAATGCAATGCCAGAATTCGTTAACTAGTTGCCCGCGTTGCCAGAGTTGTGGCTGGCGTGTGGCACAGCGTTGCCACACAGTCGCCAACTGCATTGTTGCCACACACAATGGCCGTGCAACGTGTACGTGCAGCATTACGCTATTTGCCATTCATATGAGGCGACGCCATTTTGATTTTCCTTCATATTTATTTACTTTTTCTTTTTTTTTTATATTTTTTTATATTATTTTACTTTATTTTATTTTCGCCTTTGTCGCTTTTTGTGCGGATTTTTGAAGAACTTTTAGCGTTGACTTCTTCGCCCAGTGCTGGTAAATTTAGCAGAGAGACTGCAACAATGTGTATGCAGCTACGGGAAGGGCAGACACCGAATGTGAGATGCCCTAACAAAACTATGAAGGCTTTACTTAAGCATAAGAGAAAAACATATAAAGGAAGAACTGTTGTGGTATAGAAAAGTTCAAAATAAAAACTTGTTAACTTGTACATATAATATATAAAGAAGTTAATCAGCTTGAAGTTTAGGGATCGAACTCCCTTTAAAACTAAAATATAAATTAATATTTATATATATATATATATATATATGTATATATATGCATTATCACAAGAGACGTAGAAGCTTTACTGTACTGCTTACAATACATTTCCAAGGCAGCTTAATACAAGCTCATTCTGAAATTTCCTGGAACTAGTTCTTTTACACAATCCTGGAACCAAGCTGATTTGTACTTTTGCAATTCATATCTTTAACTGAGGCTTTGCGCTGTTTCAAGGCAAC